CGTGTACACCACCCAATGGGGTCTTGTTCTTCTCTAATATGGTTAATGGTTTGTTATATTTCTAGCCGGAACTGTTTGGGTAATCTAGTGATACTTATGCTTATTTTCAAGTTATACTCTGTTTGCTTAATTATTTGTTTTGTGTTCAAGTTTCAATTGCTTGCTTAATTATTTGGATTGTGTTCAATTCAAGTTTCAGTTGCTTCATTTGATAGCTTTTAAAAAAAATCATGCATTGGATGAAAACAATGCATTGTCAAATGTAAGAGACAACTACAATGATTTTTCTTCGAGGTGAAAAAATCCGTGAGGCTTAGGTGAGAAACAACAGAGAGACTGCTATTTTGATAAACAACTTTTGAGTTTCTTCCCCTTGCAATGTCATGGGAGACTTGGAGTAGTTTACTGATTCACATGGATGCGTAACAACTTTCCGGCATTGTTTTGCTTAAATGGGGGTGACTGTCTGAGCCAAAAAACATTGAATTAGAAATGAAGAACAATGTATAACTCAGAGAGACTTTGTGGGTTTATTTATCACATGTTGAGAATGGATGCAGATATGGACCAGAGGAAAATAATAGAGAGCAAGATAAGAAGAGCACTCGAAACAAGAGTGAAGATGGTATAAGCAAATGTCTCAAACACAATCCACGAAGCTAAATTGTCCTTACACGAACACCCCAACTCAATCCCACCTCGCCGCTTGTTTCCACTCCCAACACATATCCGGCAATCTTTCTCCGGCGGCCCCGTCGCATCATCGTCATCTATCTCCATCCGCGTCGCACTTACGATCCTCCCGTCGTCGAATATAAGTAACAGTAACATGACGCCACATCTTCCCCGTCTGGATAATATACGCTTACGTCACTTCCTCCAAACGACCGTCGGTGTCCGTCCGTACGCCTCTCCCTGCTCTAAATCGATTTCTGTCATTATAATACTAACCTTGATCCAAAATTGAGGAAATTTGTGTTTTTATTTATTTACTTGAGTGACACGATTGTGGAATTGAAGAGATTTAAGGAAATGGGTTTTCGTGAATCATCATCACTAGTGTTCATGCCCGTGCTACGCGCCGGTAAGTTTACCATAGTAACACTTGATTAAATTAATAATATTAAAATATAAAATTGAGAGCAATTTATTCCAACTTTAAATTATTTTATATTATTCCAACTTTATATTATTTTTAAATTCTTTTATAAAACACCAACTTTTCTATTAAACTCTGATATAAAAAGGACCAATTCGTATACACCAATC